ACTTTCAGCCTTCCAGCGACGCGTGCGAGAGTTCAAGAACCCCAGCGGAAACAATATTGTTGATCATCAAAGATAAAAGATTTTTCTCGCACCAGCCACACTAGGATATGAAAATAAACCTGAAATTTGCTGACATGAAAAAATAATGTCTTTCACAAGTGGGTGTGGTGTTCTAGAAACGTTTAACCTACACACGAGGATTCCATTAAACATGATCCGGTAGTTTGAATTATATACATGTGTTTCGCGTCAGTCACAGGAATTCATTAAATGGTTTCTACACGCTAAACACTCGGTATCTAATGCGAAATAATTAACAGTTGGGCAATTAGTGGTATGGAGTTAATTATATGAGAAGCATTGAGGTATGTAGCTTGGGAAGCTAGGCAATCGTGGTTTTCAAAGACAGCTGATCATTCAACTGAATCGCTTACGATGCATCAACACAGTCTAGTGTTACACCATTGTCCCCTGATCATTAATATGCGTCATATTTTATTCCCCAGTAATTATAACATCGACAATGTTTTTTTTCATTTTTTTTATTCCCCAAAGTGGGTCAAGTCGCGTAGTTTCTGCAGTCACACCCCATCAAATGGCATGCAAATATTATAACGAATGAATAGAAAGTATCCCGAGAGAAAGGGAATAAAACAAGCCGTGTACTAGCCAACCGAGGAACCTGTCTCTCTTGGCATACAGATGTGACGTCATAAAAATGGGCGAGCGTGGCAGTCTCATGACTAGACACTGTCGACCTCCTCGGGCCGCATGCACTCCTGGTAGTACTATCGATCAGCGCAGATCATCGATCGTCATTATCGATGATTTCGAGCGACCTCTGGAAGATCGAGACTGTGGATCCTGAACTTCGAGATTTTTTTAACGTCCTCAGTCGTTCGGATTCTTTCGTAATTCTGGGATTTTTATGGTTTCTCGTGATTCTGCGAGAATTTCTCGATGGAGATCAGGGCTTTGCGCCTCACTTGACTCGACCGTTCGGTTTGACACCGGTAGATGGCGTCACCCAAAAATTAAATGATATTTTTGAAAATCAGTTTGTTCTGCTGTATGCACTATTCCACTGTCACGGTGGATTTGCCGGGGAGATTAGTTAATTCGGATGAATTGGGTGATGAGTCTCGGTGTGAAGCAATCGCACTTTCAGGGTCTCTTCAATAGAACAATGAAAAAATATTTTTATAGGAAATGTGAAACATTTCCTCTGACCTTTTGGAAAGGGCGGAGGTTGGCCTTGGCCCCTTGCGTGATTCCTCTTTAAAATCAGGTCGAATTACAGCGTAAACAGCTGGTCAGACGAATCGATGCTTTTAACATCGGAGTAAGTAGGCCAGACGACTTACCGAGAAGTTACGTGACGGCTTGTAACACTCGCAACATTTTCCTCGTTCAGCCAAGACAGTTTGACGAATGGGCTGAATATTCGTCTCTTGTAATCGTAAGATTGCGCGATTAGAGACATTTGGTCGAGGGTGCACTTCGATGCACTTTTATGCTGTGGGCGGCCAGTCTGCAAGACTCCAGCTGATTTCCTGCGTTACTCACTCGTATCGATTTTTGTGGACGCAGGTCCTGGAGAAATGACCTTGGTTCTATTTAACTGCGGCCCCCTATGGTCAATTATGAGAGAAAAAAATTGTTTTTTTGAAGAGAGTAAAAAGTGCTCAATTTCAGTGAAATTTTCAAGGATTCTTAAAAAATTTTCTCTGAGAATCCGAGAAAAAAATTCTAGTTTTCAGTAGTTTTTAGTGAAATTTAGTATCCATTGTACATAAACCGAGGCACTTTGATCCTGGAATCCTGGTCTCAGGGCGTTTAAAATAATAATTGACATCCTTGTCACCTCAGATTATCACTCGTAATGCCCCTAAATTTTGCGATAGTTTTGTGGTATAACAACGAGAGATTCCACGATATTTAATTAATCGAAATTTCGATTGTGTCAGAATGAAAATTGCCCTCTGGATTTTAGTATCCGCAGGTGCTCAAAGATTTCATTGCAAAACTTATTCTGATCTTTATACCAGAACTAATTAAATAACAGCTAAGTAACATATTTATACCAGAACTAAATTTATCTCAACAGAAAATTTTCATTCAAGGTTGCTCAGAGGGGGGAATTATCTTCGTTAATTACGATGTGCCATCACAACCTAGGCAGCCCCCACCCTCCTCCGTCACGGATCGTTAGAAATTACAGAACCCCCTCCCCTGTTTAATCGCGTGATGTAATATTTGACTGCCCCCTTCAACGTTCTTATTTCAAGGGTTCTTGGTTTGAGTACCCAATGTTTCTTGTTTACATTCGCGCGATACTGAATTTACGGACTTTTCTTACTGAAATTCACAACATTTTTGGTACTGAATTTCAATGATTTTTTCACTGAAACTAATTACACAGTTTTTGGATTTCAGTACCGTGGTTCTAAGAAACCGTAAACATTTTTTCTCTGCGATGTCATTTAATTCTTCACTCTCGTTTTATCCTCACGTAGACTCCGCGGCGCTAGGCAAATTACGAGGTTTAACCCATATAAAACCCATTCAACACTAAATTAGATTATTAATCTACAAGGCAATCAGTCGATGATGTCAATAAAATGGAAAATACCGGGAATAATCCGTGGAGCTAATGGATTAAATTAGACAGGAACGAATAGAAAATCACATCGAAACGATAAAAAGTCTATAATATAATTTATCGATACATTTTTGCGATCCGTTTATCGGCAGTCAAATGAAACTCTTTATCACGCAAGTGTAATGGGGGATTTCCAAGAGAATTTCCCTGTCATAAAAAAAAGAAACTCTTTCTTTACTCATTCAAAGAGAGAATAATACGTGTAAATATGTACAATGCTGACATACAACGGAAATACGTGCTCCCGTCACAAAATAAATACAGAGAAAATGCATGCTAATACTGGTCATGCACTAGCAGCAGTCGCGATTAAGAAATCAAGATGTACGACACGCGGCGGAAGCCTAATCCGCCGTATTACTTCTGCACATATCTCTATCTGATTATGAAAGATTGTTAATGCACTTGGAGTTCAGCCAGTCGCACGCTCTGATTATCCGAGATGACAAATTTGTCACTGAAAATACATCAGCAGTAACTATTGATAGGTAATGTGATAATGGTCTCACTGACAATGAGTTCTGTTTTAATTTCATGACGAAGTTTAAAATATTTGTGAGCCTATGGTACTGTTATTTCACCGAAAAACCGTGGTTAAGTCACGTGCAACTCATTGGTTACAACTCCAACTTCATTCTCACCAGAAATTTCATGCGCAGGCACAAAAATACTCACGGGTATTGTTAAATTTAAAGATTCAAAACATGATTAATGAAAAAAACTTGGCCACCTGCCGATGTGAAACCCCAAAAGGCAATTTTCGTGCTCTCACGATCGAAATTTTGGTTAATTAAATATCTCGAATCCAAACGGTCGTGTTAATTGTGTTAGCGATTTCAAGCTGGTATTAAACTACGGTGGAAGCAACTGTCCACAACGCGGAGATCATTAGCAGAACCGGTAATCGAGTGTAATGGGTTTTGTGGGGGTTCGACACTGGCGAATCGAAGGATGGTTTACTATAAAAGGAATGATGAGCGCACAACTCATCGCAGAACACACGTTGAGAACAAAAAATCTGAAATTGAGAACAATGTTTGTTGAATTCAGAACTTGATAGTCTTGATTTTCAAAAAATTAAGGATTAAGAATTTTCTGTATTCTAGAACATTTATTCTCGATTTGATGGAACAACAATTTTACTAAATTAGTCTGACAGGAATTATGGGTCCTCCGAACTCCATTTTTCCATCTTATGAGAAAACGGTTCTTACGATATTCTTAAAAAACGAATCCGTGGTAAATTGATAAATTCCGAATACGGCGATTTTTTTTTGAAAATTTTCTAGTGCATAGTCTTCACGATATTCAACTCTAAAAAATGGAAATTTTGTGAAATCATTTCTTATTAGACTCCAACAGTTATTGTTGCCTTCATCAACAACATATGAGGATTGAAAGACTCAATAACTTTCGAGAATGCAATAAATTAATTCATTTGAAATTTTTTTCCGAAAATCCATAGAGACTACACTGTTAGCAATTTTTTGAAAATTAAACAATAGTTGGACTTGAATTCTCAATGTTGTAAAGTTGAATTCAATTCAAGATCAAATCGTTATCGCTGATATTTCAATGACGTCTAGAATTTTCAAATTCATTGCGGAAATGAACTCGACATCTAACTGAATTTTCAGTGGAATTTTCATTCCACTGAAAATTCAGTTAGACCTGAAAATGGCAATTCCATTGAATACTAAAAAATTCAACTGATTTTTCAGTAACAAAATACATGCAAATTTCATGTGAATGAATGATTGTTAAAAGTTTCAAGATTTTTTACTTGAAATTTCAGGAGTAATTTTCTAGCAGTGTAAATTTTGGGCTGTATTGTCTTGGGATATACCTTAACCCGGAAGCTAACGCTTCGGAAAATCATGGAAAGTTTTACAAAATTATAAAAAAAACTCCGAACCGATAAAATATTTAAGAATATTCTGGAATTTCCTAGAGTTTATCATCTAAATGTCGACATCAATGAAAAAAAATGAACAATTATTCAACGAATGATTTTCCAAAAACTTGAGTGAAAACCCGCCGAGAATGTGCAAGGATAAACAAATACTTCTATTTAAACCCACGTGCCAATGTTTTCGTGCAGAGGGAAAGCCTAAATATTCCCCTCATTGCCCACCCGTTCTATTCAACTTCTGCCACCATCCAGAACCGAATAGACTCGGAGCGAAGTTTCTGGTAGTTTCCCGGCTCGCCCATGTGCTACCGTTGCCGCGCACAGACAAACCCACACATAAAAATCCACCAATCACGTGACGAAACGGCGCTCCACCATTTCTATATGAATCTCCTGCCCATGACTCCGTCTGTCAGTATCGCCATCGACTCGGAGCAAGTAACGCATGAACAGTGCGCATTATTCCCCCGAATCAACTTGAAAAATAGTGATTTTATCTGTGAATAAAAGTGACATCTCAAGGGTTTCGTAGCAAGACGACATAAATATTGTGACAAATAATCAACAGAGGAGAACATACTCAACCGGTAATTGAAACGAAGTTAAAAATTAGTGTGTTTCGCAGATAAATCCCGCTGTAACAAGTCGATTTATTGTCGCTTTTTGGCTAAATTACTGTGGAGCATAAAACGCAACGCCAGGCGGTATATTAGGGGGCGATTTAACTTAGTCTCTTGAAAGCCCCTCGCACGTGCGAGGCCAAGTGTTGTCGCGCGAACGTGACAAAGTATGGATTCGCCTGTCATCGTGGACACAGCATCCAAATTTGGCCGAAATCTGGACCCCGTAAGTGATTTCTTTCCCCCCCACAGATGCAACTCCCACGCAATCGTATTTTTCACTCAAAAACAGACAACAGGCACGCAAATAAACACTGGAATTGTAGTTTTATACGAAATTCTTTGACGATGAAACTCGAATTCTTTCGGAGCATTTCACCGCGACGAATTAAACCAGGAATAACGCTCTTTTTCTTTTTAATTGTCTGCTTCTTGAATTTATTTCACCGGGTAAACCGGACGTCCTTGTTTCATTTGCCGCTGGGTTTCAAACATCAACCGTGTGACCTCGGCGCAGGCGCCATCATCGATCAACCGCAAGTGAGACCGAAGACTCGAGACTTTTCGAGAAAACGAGATTGTTCGAGAATTTTCGGCGGTACGTTGGGCTCAGGCGTTGGCCCTTTTTCTTTCGAAACTCGTGTTTGATATTAAAAAAAGATTGAAAAATTTATTTCCCTTCACTAGTAGAGAAAAATTATGAATTATTAATTCTCCGATAAAATTTCAAACCAGCAACCGGGACTGGATATCGAAAAAATTAATCTGGAAAATGAAGAGGTTGAAATATCTCTCTTAGTCACCCCAGTACCCCATTTGGCACATTACTACCATATCTCAAAATTTTTTTCATCCTCTAGGGGAGTGAAATGTTCGGTGAAGTCATAACACCGTAAGAGCCTGTATAAGGCTCATTTTATTTATTCAATTTCTCGATACCTGTAATTGTAAAAACTTTGAAATTGTCACCAATGTCTCTGATCCCATTAATAAAACGAAAACCAATTTTTTTAGTGAATTGTACCATTTTTCTAGGACATACTTAAGTTATATCTCTAGAAAACACGTTTTTCTTAAGATTGTCCAGTTGCTTCATAGATAATGAAATAGTATAGTTCTTAAAAAACTAATCCGTGAATGCATTTCTTATTTGATTCAAAAAATTAATTAAATAAATTCTTACTTGATTTAAACAGTTATTGTTTCCTGCATTAACAATACATGAGGAGTGTAGATAAACTCAATAACTTATCAGAATGCAATAAATTAAGCCATTTATAATTTTTCCGAAAATCCATAGGGACTAACTTTCTTCGGATTGTCTTGGGATATCCCTTAAGGATGTTCTACACCCTTTCTGCCAAAATTCACGTTTTTTTAATTTTTCTGGCAAACTTATGATGTCATTGACGTGAAAAAATATAACGTTTTTGCGTTTTGTCATTATTTAATGACTGACGAAATTTTAAGGTGGTGCGAATATTTTCCTGCGTTTTCTCTAAACTTTTAAAAAGAATCACAAAACTGTAGAAAAAACGCATGAAAATTATCGCACCACTACGCAACTTCGTGAGCCATTAAAGAATGATAAACCACAAAATCGTTATATTTTTTCACGTCACTCCCATCGATAATTTGCCAGAAAAATGAAAACAACGTCAATTTTGGCTAAAAGGATGTCGAACATCCTTAAAGAGTGACGCTCTTAAAGTTTTCAATTTTTTTTTGTCGATTGAACTCCCTCCGACGAATGGCAATGCGTACACCTCTGCCCTTGCCTCTGATTTATGTCCGCTATAATGATACACATAATGCTGCTCATGAATAATCTCAATTTATAATCTTAATCACGCTTACATCGTTTGTTTTCATTCGTATACTCACCGGTAGCCTCATCGGTGGTTATTCAATTCAACGTTGATCAGAGACAGTAATGTAAATTTATTTGTGGGGACAAATTGCTCCTTGTGGTTTACAACACCAGGGACAAACACGATATCATCACAAAATTGTGAGAATCCTTTATTTTCAGTATTTCGATGTTGTTGAAATAGTATTTCATATTTTTTCTTATTTTTCTTTTTCATTTTTCATGGACATTCGAGCTTCAGAAAACACTCGGGCAACTCGGTTGCTAATAATATCCAAAACACTCTCGTGTGCGGGTAAATGGTTCTCAGTCGTCATCGTCGTGTCTGCGAATGTGCGTGGACCTACGTGGAACCATCAAGTTTACGAAAAATTTTACATTTTTTTCGATAATATCGAAGGTGTCGCGAACACCCGCATTTAAATTCTGGAATTACGGTATTTATACTTCTGTGCTTGAGCCAGTGTTGACAAATTTATAGAATATAATCATGCACGTGTATTCTGTTGATGAACCCACACTCAACTTGTTTTTCAACATTTTTCCTTAGTTTTTTTTAGTGCCACCTGTGAGCGCTTATTAACGCTGAACCTAAAATTCTCGTGAATTCAAATGAAAACCGGTTTTTGTGATGAACAAACCACGAGCCCGATTGAGAAAAAATATAATTTGATGACATCGTAAAAAACCGTTTTTCATTGATCGGTATGAAGTGACAGATGTCACGTGGGCGTTGAAAATAAACTCCAATGTAGAACGTCAAACTTTCTTTCCCCAATTTTTTTGTCACAAAGATCCCTCCTTGAGCAAAAAATAGCCGCGCAAGTATCTATTTCAGACGCGTGATTCCTTCCTCTATACACTCAAATTAGAAATAATCAAATTACAATCGCTATTCAACCGCAATTTGCCGCATACCACAGCGGTGATCTTCCACAGATATTACATAATATCCCTTTCATTCTCCAAGCCACAACATCTCATTACGTAGTTCAGATATGTCCCATGTTCGAGCGTCAAGATTTAAGAATCTCTGCATAATGTATCACAAACAAAATCTTTATCCTGGTGGATTCGTGGAAGAGCACTTGAGAGAAATTATACATAAATAAATTATTGGGCATCACGCTTGGGAGTGGAATTAAGGGGAGACTACTGTGAATTTTTTAATTCGCGGGCTATTGGAGTGAGATTTATCACGCATTGAAGATCAATGATATACGTCTAAAAACGAATAATTAGTGCAAAAAAATTAATTGTTTATTGTTCGTTTGCCCCACAGACGCTTAAAAAAAAAAGTGTACAATAGCCATTACGATTTTTTTTTAATTCGACTCCTACACCAAATCTCGGTTTTTTTATTTAAAAAAATTGCACCATTCATGTAAGACAGCCAGAGGAATGATCCTCAAAATGTTTAAAATATATTCTCGATTCTATCAGAAACATTTTTCTGGCTATTTTACATAAATGGTGGAATTTTTTCAAACAAAAAAACCTCTGTAGATAAAAAATTGGAGGCTCTAGACTATTTTAAACATTTTAAGCGTTTACGGGGTAAACGAACAGTAAACAATAAATTTGTTTGCACTAATTGTTCGTTTTTAGACATATAATCGATCTTCAATGTACGAAAAATCGCATTCCAACAGCCCGCGACGTTAAAAACGCATCGTGTCTCCCCGCTAATCACCGGAAAGTTTGAAATATTAATTGCCCATTTGATGTGCCTCCCGAGTGACTGCATACATCAAAGCGGCTTCTATCGATGAAATTTGGACAAAAACAGGCCTCCCCGATTTGACTGGACACCAGTGGCACACGAGTGCACTTGAATATCAGCCGTGGCCCACTTTCTTCGGAATATCCCCGCTGTCCAAATGCGTTGACATTAACCCACTTAAATTCCACCATTAAAAATCCTCTCCCCGTAATCCGTGAAATTTCGTAAAATTTCACGTCTAGAAAATTTGACAAGCAGGAATAACTCAACTGAGTACAAATCGTTGAAAAAAAAATCGCTTGTAATCGCTCGCACCTCCCACGGGTCCCAGGTAGAGCTTGACGTCACCCTCTTATTTGTTCCCCTGACAATGTGAAAAAGAAATCGCGGAAAAGGATCATAAAAGGCAGGGATCGTGTGGAATGTCGTTCCCAGAGGGAAATAGACGTTCAACTCATTTGGTAATGTCCATATGCAATAGTGTCGTACTCCCAGACACCACGTGTCTCACGTACCGCCATGTAACACGATTATTCCTGCACACTGAGAAAAAAGATTTTTTTTTAGAAGTACGTATTTACTTATATCAAGAGACTCGTGACTTGAAAATTTTCAAAAGCAAGATATCTGGCACTAAAAAAAACTTTCGTCGAGAAATTTTGTACTTGTCCTAAAGACGAGGGCAATTTCTTGACGACAAGAAAGCGATCTATCAAACTAAATAACATTGAATTAATTGATTTCATAGATTTTTATCCTCAATTCTAAATTATTTCAATGCACAACCCATTTGAATTGATTTGAGAATTCGTTTGTTTACATGAACCAATTTCCCTCATCTTTCGGACAAGTATAAAATTTATTGACGTAAGATTTTTTGTCTCAGTGTGTTTACTTCTCAAAAAACTCTTGTGACTCGAGTGATAAAACTCGTGCATAAAGTAGGATTTTCACACACATAAGGCTGGGATTGCAGGCACTGGTGGGAATACGTAATAGCAGATGATTCATGCATAGATTCACAATTGGAGAATCATACATTGATGTAAATTTGTCATGACTGATTGCATTATCCCACATTTATCCATCCTTTCGTTATTTCCATTTGTACCGGTCAATCAATTAGTCGTGAAACGAGATCATACATAGTTAATCAACCTTATCAGCAACAAACAGCTTTGTCGAATATTCGTCACGTTTGCTTTATTTCTATTCAGCAACGTTACCATATATGGATATTACACTGCGCACACCTGTGCAATCGTTTCTGTTTTTCTTTCATTATTTTCTTGGAACTGAGCTATCGCTACACCTGCGGCAAATTCCCAGCTTTTTGTTCACCCGGAATTTGAAAAATTACCGAGATAACTCCTTTCATCACCACAATGTCGGAAATTACACGGTGAAAGAGGTAAAAACTAAGGGCGGATGCTAGGCATAAAGAATAAATGAACACAGAAGAACAAATGAACATTTCTCGTTCTCCATGATTCATAGTTGAGCCTCCGCACGTACCGGGTAGCTTCAGATATCTTTAAATGGTTACGAGGAACGATTCAGTCCACTGCCATGCCCATTCACCATCTGAAATTCACCCTGGCAATTTGCTGGAAACATTTAACGATACGTCTACGAGATAAATCATGATAGACGCGATAAAAAAAGGGAATGGAGAAAACTGAGAAATCTTGGAGACTGGATGATAAGTGTAAAGTCCAGGTTTGTAACAGTAGGCGTGCGATTTTTGTGACGTAGTGAGAAAGAATTACGCATTCATGGCCGTGACGACAGTTGAGCGTATCGCCCACGTTATGTATACGAATAAACCACAGCGTAGCGCTCTGGCATGCCCCGACATGTATTTCCTAAAGTTTTTCAGTTTATTCGGATTTCATTGGCTGATTTGGGAGTGCAGTTTTTTTCAAGATTCACTCGTACATGCACTATTCACAATTTTTAGATGAATTTTCTGGTGTTTTTCTTGGGAATTCTTGTCGAGCGACAGTTCCACTGAAATTTCAGAGAATTTCGATATTGGAAAAGTCGATGCAAACTGAATTTCAGTTTAATTATCCCATGAAAGTTAATATAAATCAGGGGAATTAAGATAAACAGATTCTTGATTCGGTACTGAATACGTTTTGATTAAAAATTCAAGTAAATTGGGGAATTCTTGTCATCTTGCTGCTGTTTTCCGTGGAATTAAAAATTTTATTATTTTTTCTTCCGCAAATCGCATTCAATGGCGCTCTCCTGAGTCCACGAAATTTCCACTTCAGTTCTAACAGCGTATGCCAAACCGAAATTAAATTGCTATTTTCCTCCACATCAGCTCTATGCACTCGTTGGCCCCGAAGAAATTGTTCATAAGTCAAGAAAATTGTTCTCGATCGACTCGAGGCTGTCGAAAGCTGCAGGTGCTGTTCTATAAAAGAGAGAGGAATTGTATGCTGCCTGATTTTCCTCAATTCCAAATTCTCAAGATATCGACCACCACCGCGTCCATGTTTGCGTATGAAAACTCATCTCATTATTTTCTTTATGATTCCAGGGTTTCGGTTTTGACGACGAGGGTTTCCGCCGCAGCAAGGACATAAGATCGCACCTAGACGATCTCGCCGCGAGGCACCCAGAATTCGCAGATCACCTCCTTGGGCCCCCGTGGGGCGACTTCACCCTCCCCCGTAGACGTGGGTCTGGTGCATCCCACCAGAGTCACCCAGACGAGGACGCGAGGAGCCAAGCGAGTGGCAGTAGTGCAGCAAGCGCAGCGAGTGGTGCCAGTGGTGTGAGCTCCCACGGCGATCCCGAGACAATATTCGAAGAGCCCCAAACTAAGCTCCCCCAGTACGGCCTCCGCAATACAGTTGACATCGGCCAACACCAGCACAACATGCAGAATCAGGACAAAGGGGGTAGAAATCAAAGATCCATGTCAGCCCCACCCGAGAACAGGCCGGACGATAATCAACCCCAGGACGGACAGTCCCAGAATCCAAGATTTGTATCGCGAGTGGACATTACCCCGAAGTTTAACAATCAAACGACTGAAAAATCCTCAAAGCCCGAATCCCAATCACCACCGCAGCCCCAAAAACAGCAACAGAGTAATGTACGACACATACCGATATTCGTCGAGGGTCGTGATGAGCCAGTGATTCCCAGGAACAAAGAGGAGCCTGTATTCACAAAGCAACAGTCACCACCGAGATACACAAGGCAACAATCACCCCCCAGATTCACAAGGCAACCGTCACCCCCTAGATTCCACCAGTCGTTCGACTCTCCCCCTGAGTTTCACGCACCCCCACACTTCCACAGACCCTCTCACTTCACCAGCGAGCGATTTGCTCGACCACGCGAGTGGAAACAATTCACTGAGGATGTGTTCGATGGGCCCTTCGAGGGAATGCGTCGAACCCACTCGCCATTTCGACAACAGACTGAGCGACAGGGAAGAGCGCCTGAGGCTCACTTCCCTCAGGGTCACAGCTATCACCAAACCAGTCAACAGCCGCAGGAGAAACAGCAGGAGAAGCCAGCGGCTGAGCCAGAGAAACCCAAACAACAGATTCAACCGAAGGATCCGTTGGAGAGGGTGGCCCTGGTTCAACAGGAGGTGGATTCCCTGCACGAACAAGTTAAACTGTGGAATGGAAACACAAGGCAGGATAAACAGTACATCTACCTCGATGAGATGTTGACAAGGGAGTTGATAAAACTGGATGACATCGAGACAGAGGGAAAGGAGGCTGTTAGACAGTCTCGTAAGAACACCATCAAGAGTATACAGGATGCCATCAGTCTCTTGGAATCAAAGGCACCACTGCCTGGACAGACACCAGTGAAGGAGCTCTCATCTCCCCCAGAATTCAATCAGCCCAAGAATGAAGAGCAGAAGGTGGAGAACGTTGAACTGATGGAGACGGAGAAGAAGCCTGAGGAGGAGGCAAAGCCGATTCCTCTTCCTGCCCCCTCGTCACCTGTTAAAGAATCTGCTGCACCTCAGAACGAAGTTTCAATGAATGGTCAACAGTCCACCAGTACAGAGGGTAAAGGGGCTGAGAAGGCTGATGGAGTGAGTCTTCCAGACCCAAATGTCGCGATACCGATGGAGGGAGCTCCTGTTGAACCAAGTACTGCCATGGAAATCCAGACTGATCAAGCGCAGAAGGCGAGCAACGAAGCAACGAATGAAGATACCACGAAAATATCCAAATCTCCAAAGAAGGTGAAGAAAGCAAAGAAGCAGACGCCCGTCTCGATGGAGCCAATTCCATTGCCCGGACCGGAAGCCCATCAAATAAATTGAATAAATGAATATATTATTTGAATACAAAATGATGATTAAATTATACGTGAGGATGAGCTGAAACTGATCTGTTCAGATGCTGAAGGTGTACGATTAATGGATAAATTATCTTTGGTTTTACGAGGAATTTAGGAGACTGATTTTCCATTCAGTTTCAGCTTCCAATTCTTGTGAGAGTTATTGAGCTGTGAAGCCATGAATTTCTTTTCTTCTATCCAGTGCCAGAGCGCAATAAGTGATTTAATTGTATCATTTTACGAGTTTTATACGCTACGAAAATATTAATTTTGGCGGATCAATGTAGATTGGCTATGTTTACGTGAATAATTGAATAATTGAATTAGTTTCGAATCGAAATTATAGTTTTAATCGTCTCAGGCTCGTTGTGATCCTTCCAAAAACATTATTCACCTTTAGATGGGGGTAGAGGTAATGATCTTTATCCTCTAGTCTTCTCGATTCTTGTAATTTAAAGCAGAATGAAAGTAGATTTATTGTAGCGAAAAATCAATAAAGCGCGACAAGATATCAAAATGTATAAGTGAATGTACGATTATTTAAATATAATTATTACCTTCATTTTGAATTATACATAATTTATTATGTTTGTAAGTTACTTGTGTCAATTAAAAAATTGCAAAGATCTTTGCCACGTTCTAAATTTATATTGTAGCACAGTAGGAATTGAGAGGTATGAAATAGAGTTTCATTTGCTTTAAAATATTTTTAGAGCAGTCGTGTATGTTATTTAGTTTTTTATTACTTCCCCGAAATGGAATGAGAAGGTGGTCCTCGGCAGTCATGAAATTCCAATAACACACACTATTAAGGTTCAATGAGGGCATTCGAGCAACTGCCAGGTCATCAGGCCAAGTATCAGTTCCTGTGTTTTATTCTCGTATGATTTTCGCAATTCGACACCAACACCCAGTTTCGAATCTATTTGACTTCAATTATGTGAAAATATCAAAAAATGCAATTTTACTTGGAAAAATGAGTGCTCATGAGTTGATGTTAGGCATTCTCCACGATTGAACGTAAGTGTTGCTCGAGTGAGCGCATTTTTATGGCGCCTGTCTGGTCTATTCAGAGGTACAACGAAGAGGCATGAAAAAAAAACGTCTGGGTACTTTTGAATGTTCATGGTGTAGCTGTGCATCAAATGGATACAATAAACTCTGAAGCACTTTTATGCTTTCGGGAAAATTTGCTCTGCTTTTCACAGCTGGCAACTGCGAGGGGCTGTGGAAATTGTGCCAGAATTCGAGAATCCATCATGTACATGTTCAAGCTGTAATGGGTCTTGCGACCTTCAACATCTGTCCAAGCGGACCTGTGGATTTTCCACAAATATGAAATATATCTCGAGTCATGTCAAAAATCAAAACAAAAGTTGAGACTATGTTCTGAGATTGAGAGTGTTGATTTAATGCTGCACGTGCATTCAGGATAATTTATAATGTTGAAAAAAAATTGAAATTTCATGGACAGGTGACGAGTAATTTTCAGGAGGGAGATATTGAGTTTAATTTAGAGGGAAAAAATCATGAAATTTCACCTTTCACTGAAAATTCAATGAATTTCGAAATTTTTGCGCAGCAGGAAAACGAGAATTCGTGAACTTTCTTTGATTTTCAATGCAAACATAAATATTCGGTAACAAATTACTGTCAAAGACCCAGTTTTCGGACATAGATATAAAACGGCTTAACTTTATTTGTAACTCCGGCAACTAGATCCTCGACCGTTCACTAAATTTGCAATTAATTGAAAATTCAAGAATATATTGACCTAAATTTTCCTATTTGAATAATTTCCATGAAATCCTTTCATAAAATTTTGAATTTTGAATTTCGAAATTCTGTGAAATTTCAGTGAAACTATTATACGATAAAAAACTCCAAGAAGGTATCTTAAATTTCAGCCAAAAATGTTCGACAGCGTTTGTGAGTGAACTAATATAGCCGCTTTAATTATCACCTCATTAGCTCACCGGAAATGTATCGCGGAATTCATGGGACGAGATCAGACCGATTTTTCATGTTTAAAATGTTGAATAAAAGAAGACTTTTAAGTAAAGATTTGGCACGACACGGGTAGAAGGAGACGTCTATAAATAGAGGGGTTGCCACTTGGGATTGTAAAGGAGAGTAGGTGTTTTTGCGTCGCGACGCTGAGACAGCGTCGTCGGGAAAACCCCAACGATTGATACCATCGTCAAATGAGTCATGAGAATTTTTATGTATTTGTTTCAACAGTTTTGTACAATTAAAAAGCTTTTGGATTGATTTAATCGAACTTCAAGCACTAGCAGCGTGATGATAAAACATTCGTGTAGCAAAAGTATCTCGAGATATTTCGGACGGAATTCAATCTGGAATAGATTTTCGTGGCTTCACTGGCACCGTTTTGTGCTTCTCCATTGCGTTGTGGTATTCCGCGAAACAGGTTGGACAGTACAAATCACCGGTGCAGCCAAGACACTGAACCAAATTCTTTGTTGCATCACATATCGCACATTCGAGTTCTTCGTCGGAATCGTATTGAATAGGAATCTAGTGATATGGAATTAATAACATCTATTAATATGCATGCATCAACGATCATTCACGTCTATATTTGAATTAATAATAAAGTGCTGAACTGTAATTCGTGAAAGACACAACTGTGAAAATTTTACGATTGTTCATTGTTTTTTATTTCGTTAACACGTGGCTGGAACTGAAAGTTTCAAAATATAATTGCTGTAAAGGAATTCATTTTCAACTGAGAAGGACTCATGAGTGCTTCTCCTATAATCACTCATTCGCAAATAAATGCATAATTGAAAAAATTTTCAAGTCGATTAATTATTGATTATTTAGTATTTTAGAATGTGAAGAATTCTGTTGTTGTTTGAAGTTCTATTTCGAAGACTTCGTCAATTGTCTATTCATATAAAAAGCAAGTAAATTCATCTAGAAGCAGTGAAAAATGCACTTTTTATGTTATGGTTTCACCATCTCGAGAAATTTAGTCATCTATTCATCTTCATAACAAGTGATTCTATCCAAAAATATTAAAGCACCTTTTTTAACGACAAAAATTCCCTACAAAAAAAACGCTCATCTTCTGAAATCTCTCATCAACGTAATTTAAAATTTTAAGATTCTGAAAATTAGCTTCATTATACAAAAATAATTGGTTTATTAAGAACTAGAAGTCATCAATTTACCTCAACCTCCATCTCCTCAAGTTCATCTTTCTCCTCATCCCCATACTTCTTCTCTAGAGCAGCCTCTGCAAGGGCCTTAGACACAATATTCTTCGTCACAGTTGCCTCATCGACATCATCTGGAATTGTCGATTTCGAGGGATCCATTCCCTTGAGCTTGTTCAGCCTCCGCTCAATATCATCGTCCGTTTGTGCATCATGTTTCGAAAGCTCCAGCCTCTCCATGTATTCACGTATCAGGTCATCAGACTTCTCCTGATCGGATCTCGTATCTACTTTGCAGACATTCAACGGAGGTTTATAATCGGGATCCTCGTCTTTGAGGAGAGCCAGACGTCTCCGAATCTCTTCCGTGGTCACTGGCGGTGGCTTTTTATCCGCCTCTTTCAATTTCTTCAATCTCTCGACGATTGCTTGATCCTCAGGCTCTAGACCTGTTTTGAATTCCTCCCAGTGGTCCTGTTTGTATATGACAATTGGGGGTTTCACGGGATTCTCTAACGCTTCGAGTCTATCAATTTAAGAACTCGGGATTAATTAGGGGGAATTTTTAAGGATGTTTATCCATTTTTTAGAAATTACATTTTTCATGTTCGAGAAAAATTAGCCGCCACAGGTTTGATGAGAGGAATTACATAAAGTTTTTAATTGATAATTCCAATTATTATTTATCACTTATTTATTATTAATTTCGTTCATTAGTAATAGTCATCCAACAAGTGGAACAATGATGCAATAAAAAAAAAACAATAACCGACTAGAAATTTAACGACAAATCGTCATTGTAAATCAATAATTTTGGAGTAGATTTCTTCAATTTTCCTTTCATCTCGAATTAGGTAATTTCATTTCATGCAAATGTCATTATTAAACAAATGTAATGCAATATAATGGGTAATTTCGTAGACAATCCATTCTCGCAATAATTCAATTAATCTATTCTTGTTTATATTTAATGACTTGTTCATATTTGAATTTATGTAATGACGAGATTTTCAGCATTCGACATTGCAATAAAAATCGGGTCAATTGAACCTATTGGGCATTTAGTTTTCTGGACAAATCGTTTTTACTGCAATGGAAGTAAAACATTTAAACGATGGAGGCATTTAAAAAATTAAATCCCACATATTGGTGGTGGTGGTGGATGAAAATTTTTATCGACATGAAAGAGATAACTGTGTCTCTCAGTTGAAGAAAATAATTTTTTTGGACTGCTTGCAGTTTTGGATAAACATTCCCAGTGAAAATTAATGTGATTAAAATTGTTGGACTTCAGTCATTACTTTCGTTCGATATCGACAGTTGCCAATGGTACAGAGTCTTCCTCGGGCGTTGGCAGTCCATCAGATCCTGCCCCTGAACTCTCCCCGGATTGTGACATTTTTTTATGGTAACAAGGACCACAAACTTTCTTCACAGTGTTATCTGGCAGTTGACACTTGTACTTGAGGCACTTACTACAGTAAGAAAATCCACATTTCGGGCATCCATTCTGAGCGAATGAGTGGAATGTTTCAAGCAATTGATTTATAAAAAAAATAAGCCGAAGGTATTATCAATGACAGATGAGCTAACCTCATCATTCATGAACAAATGAATTTCGCTGTCTTACCTCGCGTGTGAAAAACGAGAATTTTGACTGGCACGAGGTGCAGGACATTCTTAATAACCACTTGATTATCACTATTTATGTTAATAAATATAATACAACTTTGAAGCTAATTCTTCGGAGTTTACTGCGACGTATTTGTTGTCTTGACGTGAGGTCCTTGATCAGCTGACTTCAATTTGACTTATCGACTGAGAAAACTCACCCAGGAGCAGATTTGAAATTTTCGGAATGACGATACACTCAACGTATCAAGCAACATCCACTCTTGAAATAAAAAATGGGAATTACAAAGACCAAAAAAATTGTAAGAAGCTCAAGTTTCGACGACTTCCATGACTCGTCCATTGAATCAACAGTTTTGGATGCACAGAATCCTTTCGTGAGCATTCTGAAACTGGATTTATTGGTTTTATTAACAGTTGGATACTACTTTCGAAGATTAGTCAGAGTGATCACACCGATGCTGAGGATATTCACCATCGTCAGCTTTGGAATTACTTTGGTACTGACTTTTTTGTTGATTCATTCGTCGTTGAATCACTCGTCATCACGAGAATTGGCAATTGCTGGGCAATTGCAGAGTACTAATTATCTGCTGCAGCAGGAGTTGGAACGATTGAGAAGCAAGACTTTGGGCCTTGAACTTGCTATTAGGAAAATGGTAAATTACTAGAATTTTATCTATTTGTTTTATCATGACAAAATCAGCTACTGTACACAATGGAGCACCTTCAGTTTTTTCAATGAGAAGAAAATATTTTGAAAATTGATGTCCAGGAATTCCTATTGAAAAAGTCTCACTATAAAAAATTACAAAAAAATGAAATTCTATGGATTTTTTTAATTAAATAGTTTTAATTTGACATTTTCTATACAAAAAGTGCAGTACAAATGTGGAATTCTTTAGTAGAATTGGCTAAAAACCAATGGACAATTCAATAAAATTTTCTAGCGAAGTTGTGGGTGATGCCTTTCATTCAATTATTCAATTACAGAATTCTCAATTGAACGCAGTACGAGTGGACTCAAAAAATCATCAAGAAACATTAGCTGATTTTGCTTCAGAATCGGCTGGGGGCTCCATCATTGACACCCCAGGGACAAAATCGTATCACGACCAGAGCCAACTCCAAACACTGTTCGGCATTCCGATCTGGAAGCCGAATTATTTCACTCCTCGCAAAGTCATTCAGGTAGGCCCTCTCGTCCATGCACCAATTCATTCTAATATCTAAAATAATACTGATGATTTTCCGCAGCCATGGAGCCAAGCTGGCGAATGTTGGGCTTTCTATGGTGCCCAAGGAAAAATTGAAATAGAACTTGCATATTCAACGTTTGTCAATAGAGTGACTATGGAACATATTCCAGCTAGTGCATCACTGACTGGGAGTATTGATTCAGCTCCCAAGGAATTTCGTGTGCTTGTAAGATAATAAATGATGTCAATTGCCCGTGATAAGAACGGAGATATTCTCAAGTAATCATTTGCCATAATTTTTCAGGGGAAATTTCGAGGAAAATACATCGAACTGGGTAGCTTTATGTACAGGGACGAGGGACCTCCATCCCAAAGTTTTCAAATTGTGGTATGACTTTTGTCCTATTCTAGCAATTTTGTTGATTTTATTTGAAACTTCTTTTGTCCAAATTGGCATGAAGAACTTTTTTTATAAAGAATATTGAGGGAGATCCATTGAACCAATGCAATATTTCTCTTTATTTTAACAGAGAGAAGACATGCAGAATACACCAATGAAGCAGATAATGTTGCAAATCCTCTCCAACTGGGGCAATCCCGACTACACATGCATCTATCGTTTCAAAGTCCATGGAAAAATGTCAAATAATCTCCAGGATATGTAAAATAAAGACTGAAATACCACGTGAAAAGTTAGTTTTGGTCACTTTATTATATTCTCATACAAAGTTGTGTGTCAATGTCAATGAGATTGCCATTACGACCATTTTTCGGCAGCAGAGCCACCCCAGTTCTGAGCAGGTGCTGGTGCAGCAGGAGTTGGTGCAGCATTTGCTGACCATTCGTCTTGTACCTGCGTCGCCCAGTCACTCGATGGGGCGAAAGCAGCAGCAGGAGCTGGAGCTGGCGCAGCAGCTGGTGCTGGGGCTGAATCGTCAGCCCAGTTCTCAGTTGCTGGAGTTGGCTCCACTTCATTGCCCCAACCAGGCTCGGTTGTTGTTGGCTCAGCAGGGGTGAACTCCTTTGGTGGTGGAGCAATCTCCTTGGCTGCTTGCTCCTCTTTCTCAGCCTTGAATAATTCATTTTTATACGAGATTAGACAATGACAATGTAGTAATGACAATTTAATATTCTATGGAATAAATCAGAAAAGATTAAGCCATATAAATCAGCATTGTGGATTCTGTTTTTAATTTCTCATCATTTGACTAAGAAAACACAGGAAAATATGTTACGATTTCCAAAAAAGAAAATTAATTGTTTATAAATCATTTATAAAAAGCCGGTCCTAATCTTTCGTAAATCTAAAAAAAAATATGTTCAATTTTGTCGGTAATGAAGCTTGATTGAGTTCTGACGTTAAAAAAGAAAATTTGGAGATGATTTGAACGAATAAGGTGGTTAAAATACTTGGATATCCTTGAATGAAAATTCATTGAATTGAAAAAAAAAGTACCTCCTCAGGATCTCTGTAGAAAAAGAGATCTACGACAACATCCCATTTGGATTCACGTGGGATTGAGCCACGAAGACGAAGTACCTCACGTGCCAACAACCACCACATGAGACCAATGCTGTGAAGACTCTTGGTATTGCATGGAATGGAAATGTCAACGAATCTGAGGGGTGAGTCAGTGTTGCAGAAAGCAATTACTGGGATGTTGACGTAGCTGGCTTCAGTGATTGGTTGGTGGTCTGATGCTGGGTCTGTGACGATCAGCAGACGAGGCTCACGGAAAGCAGCCTGAAATAAAAGCCAAAATCATCTTTAAAATCATTCATCAGAATGCAAGGAATTTTCTGGAAAGAATTTCTCGATTGAGGAATCAGAAAAGATTAAGCCATAAAAATTCATCAACGTTGTTATGCCTAAAGTTTCTCATCATATGCAGACAATTACAATAATTTGGAGAGACAATGGAGGTCTCGAATTTTTTTGAAATTCATTTTTTTACCTGGATCTGATTAGTGAATGCACCGGGAGTGAAACGTCCAGCGATGGGAGTGGCTCCAGTGTGTGCTGCGAACTTGAGAACAGCCCTCTGTCCAACAGGTCTGGAGCTGATGACGAACACCTCACTGGGGTGTTCAATGGCCACAATTGCACGAGCAGCCAGGAGAAGCTTCTCCCAAGTACGACGGAGATTGATAACATTCACTCCAGCACCTGAAAGAATTTTATTCGCGTCTCAAAACGTGCTTCGAAACTATTGTAACATTTATAGAGGGGAAAAGTATTCTCGAAGTGAAACAAAGTTTCAATTTCAAGAATGCAATATTCTTCATTCAAGAATTTTAAGAACATAATCCTGGATCAGAATATTTATTCTTGAATGAAGAGCATTTAATCTTAAGTTGTGAATTCACAGAATCTCGGTCCCTCTTATGCTCATTCACACATTTCGTCAAATATTTCGATTAGTGGTCGAGCCTTTTGCAATGAATATATACATCAATTTTTTTTTATTTTTCCTATTGAAAATCGTAATTTTTCCATTTTCTTCAACTGTTCAAACGTTACTAGTTCTGCAATTTTCAATATTTTTCAACGAAATCTTTTTTGTGCTTTCGAAAAATTATTCAAGTCGTTCTGTTAAATGAAAAATAAATCTCATTGAAAACTATTCTTTTACTCAAAGAAGAAATTGAAGATAAATTAGTGAAATATTCCATCAAATGTTTCTGGTACTTGAAAAAAGCGCCTAGACTGAATTTTTTGGAGAATTAGATATTTTGTTCTTCCATTCAGATATTCGAGGAAATCGAATTATTATTGATGCCCCAAGATCTATCACTGGAAGCAAAGAACTAGAACTAAAAAAAGTCAATTCAAGAATGTAAATTTCTTTACTCACCATCTACACGACGTTTGTAGACATACTGCTCCATTTGATAATTGACGTTCTCAGAACCCAGGTGGGTGCATGCCGCCAACATTTTCGTAACATCATCCTCTTTGAGGGACAACACATCTAATCCTCCCGACATCGTCACGTTGTGGTTGAATTACGAATCAACCTGTAAATAAATGCATTACTACATCAGTCTCTGATCAACCAAAGCACGATTGTACATGTAGGAATGAGATGATTGGAGGTTGTGTCACTCCACGTGTTGTGCCACTAGCAAAAAAGCCTCCAGTTAAGAGATATTATGCACTCTGCACGTGATTTTTTGGGTTATTCGCGTTGTTGAGCCTTAGAAATACCATTTTCAAACACTTCTATGATCTTAGAATAATTATAAATACGAATAATTAGGAATAAAAATATTTTAACCTACGTATTGAGATGCCACTGGGAGACTTCCTATGTGGAAAGAACGTGCGGAAGTCGGCCATGTTGCAAGTTTGGTGAGTACTCGCTAGTCAATAGAACTACATTTTCCATCCACATAATCACAATTTTAACTATTTTTCCAATTCATCTACTCTTAATAACAAGGCGTCCATTTATTTTGAGGAATTTTCCTAATAAAAGATTCATTTCCTCTCATTCTGAATGATTTCTCACAACTGATGCATTTTATGCGGGAATTTCGGTTTGATCAGTGCAGCTATCAATGTTAATAATAATAAATATAAAATTAAATAAATTAATAATAAAATTAAAACATTGTGAACAATCGATTGACTCTAAAAACGAACTGAATTAACATAAAATGACATTTTCACATAAAAATTTTTTCTCGGTGTGAACGCTCATTGTTCCCCCACCCGTCTACCCCATTCGTTTCAATATGGCGGACAGCAGTTAACAATCATCCAGCGATTGTTGACTTGTCAAGGTTTAATCCGTGAACTATCAACAAAATAAAACAACCACTTTTATCTCAAAATGAATATGTCAGTGGAGAAGAGAAAATATCCATCGGCTTTACCAACAAATTGGCCGACGAGGGACGAGAGCACTAGGAAAGCACAGAATCAACTCTCGTCATTGTCCAACTCTGGTAAAATTGACGTTTACTACTACAGGTACATAATCATCATAGTAAACAAAGTAACCTGATGACTAGAATATTTTGACCATGAGAGAATTAATTTTTAGTCGAGGTGTGAGAAATGACACGTCGTTAGTTCCCCCAATAAGACAGACAGCATCGATATTCAAGCAACCAGTGACAATTTACAAAACTCAGGAGGGAAAAGTCAAGGATATCAAGCATGGCAGTCAAGAAAAACCGAAACAGGTATTTACCATTTTCTCGTAATCGAAAATCTACATAGTCCCTCATATTCATTATTTTCACGTACGATATCCCGAGTAATTGATCATTAGCCTGAGAAGTGTTGAGACTAGGTGATGTAATGAGTTAATCTTGAATTATGGAAAATCTATGAACTAATTCGTGACTTTAGGATGGGGCCGATAAAACTGACAGCAAGTATGGCTCCCAAGATAAGCCTAAACAGGTAAAATAACTTGGCACGATAAATCATTCAACAGTTAGCAGCAGTATGAGTCAATGAATCATGAGAGTTGCATGTTGTCCGAAACAATAAACATGTAGTTTTTACACTGAGGGAAATTTTTCTGGAGCAAGGTTGAGTCGTACCAAAACAATTACAATATAATGATTAAGATTCTAATTTTTGGGGATAAAAATGTGAAGAGTGGTCCTGAGATGGGAAATTGTTGTTTGAAAAATGATAACAACCCTGTCATTTCAAACAAAATATTTTTTGGTCAACTTGATTTAATTTTATTTAATTTAATTCATTTAACTTAATTGAATTTGCTTTTAACACATTCATTTATTCACTTTTATTAGCCGTTTTTTTTATCTTCAGCGAAATAGATTATTGTTTCAACCAACTCTCACTTGGAAAAATGTTATTGTTCCCTCAGTGTAATGTCCCATTACCTAAACGTTTATTGCACTGTCAAGATCATCATTAAGCTCAACTAAATCTGGGAAAAATCACAGTCCATTGATGATTATTTTTTATTATTCTTCCAGTTATTCTGGGAGAAGAGGCTGGAAGGGTTGAGGGCCTGTGATCCAGATGGTTACGAGTTCGATGGCATGGATTTGCCGAAGACACTGAAGCCAGTTGGACCTTACATCACAGAAGAAACACTACTCCAGAGTGTCGCCACAGCCCTCCACGTTTCCTCACAGCCAGTGACAGGGCAAACGGGGTCCAAATCTTCATTAGAAAAAAATCCTGGGGTGTTTCTCAATCCAGAGCAACCCCTCGTGCAGGTAAATTTGTCAAACTACTTCACCTTCTTATCATGAATTCGAAATTTCTCTATAATTCCTCATTATTCTATCCACAGGCTGTTGCGATAGCTGACGACGACATTAAGAGGCAAGAAGACCGAGTTGCATTGGCGAGGATAAAACTTAAAGAAGCCTTACGTACATAAATTCGAGTAATAAACTAGATACATTTCATCGATCATCTTCCTCATCGACAATTTTCATACCTAAGTTAATTTTCACATGAAGCAAAAAACAAATCAAATAAAACATTCGTTATATACACAAAATGAGAATTATTGGTGATTTATTGTTTCATCCCCCAGTTTAATTGTTGAACCTCGTACACTAGCTTTATTATTTTCTTTGGAACATTGATGGTATGAAATCTTTCCTCCAGGTACTCCCTCAGAATTTTAATTCTCATGGTAAGTTATCTTATTAATTAGCTAAATATTTATTGATCATCTCCAATTATATTGCTGTAATTGAATTCAACGTAAACAAAATGAGCAACAATTCCAAATTAAGGTTGATAATATCGTATTGTAAACTTCCATCACAGTTTGGATCATTTTTTTTCCTATTCATATTGCTTCATATAATTAAGAATTATTAGTAAGGAGAAAGTCCAAGTAGCCAGACTTTTTTGAATATTCAACGCATTTCTTGAGTCACACTGACAATTTATTAACTGTTACCACATTTTGGCAACCCATTCAAAGATTTTGAAGATATAATGTTCTATTTTTACGCTTACTTTATTCATTATTACGCATTAGGTTTATTAGGGCCACAAAATTAAATTTACTAAGATTAATTAATTCCATTTGAATTTAAAAAGCTCTCGTATTCCTCTGCTGCACAGGTAACTAACCGACTGAGCCATTCACACGCCGTCCTATACTCCATTCTCGCTATTTATCATTATTTCTTCAACATCTCTCTCCGTGACTGGCGTTTGTGACAAGTGGGCTTCGTTTTACTAGTCTTCAAGCTCCCATAAATTAAGGAAACAATAATATCAAGGTAAATTTTCTAATTTTCCGTGCTTTAATTATTATATTCAAATATTCGGGGTTTGTCATCAGTGGAAAGAAAGTTTTTAATACTCAATTCGGCTTTTGCCGTGTCATTCTCACACAAACATCTACAAATACAATTTAGTTATTTGTTTATCACTACTTTTTTTAACATTACTAATGTGAGATAATTATCCAAACAATTCCCGTTATTTCTATTCTTCCAATACACTGGTTTCTCTTGATGGATCAATTTTTCCTTTAGTATATAAAAACTTAACCTACAAAAATTCGAACTTAACTCTCTGAAATTCTCCTGTCATCAACATCAACTTAACAATTATCAAGAACTCATTCGGTTGAAAGAATCAAAACAAATAATATAGCAAACACCGTGTCGATTTTTTATCTAGGTCCTCCTCAGGGAGGTGACGATTTGAATTATTTCTGGAAATAATGCACAAAATAGTTCACAAAAACCTAGAATAATCATGCAAAAAGTCAATGTATGTCGAAGGAAAATGAGGTAAAACGAAATTTCTTGAATCATCAATATCTTCTGACTCCCCCTCCAAAATTGAAGAAAAGTTCGTTCAATTTCACTCTGTTTAGTTCACATAAATGACTATTTTAAACGGGTTATTTCCTCCCCTTTCCACTACATTAAAATGAATGCTGAAAAAAACATCGTCATTTCATGGAAAGTTGACTAGTAATTTTCAAAAGAGTGGCATTTAATTCGATTTAGGAGAAAAGAAAATTATTAAATTTCAGGTTTCACTGAAGATAAAAGAAATTCCAAATTTTTCAACAGTATAGAGGACCGTGGGGCAAAACGAACAAGTTTTACTTTGCTTTCAATGTTCATAACTCCGAAATGAAGTGAACAATTCAATCTAGACTCATGACAAAGAATTGTATCTATAGAAAAAAAAATTATTCCATTGCATCAGAAACTCAATGAGTTATTGAGATTTAAAAAAAAGTCATAAGTGTCTATTTTGCCCCACGCGCCCCTGCATAAATATTTCTGTCTTTAATTCCATTTACAGTGCTATTTACAGTCTCCAAATCTATATTATTTCCATTATGTCACATATTCATTACCCATTCTACAATAATTTAGTGATTATCCCATATTTCCAGATGTTCTTAACACGTTCAGAATACGATCGCGGTGTGAATACATTCTCCCCAGAAGGGCGTTTGTTCCAAGTGGAGTATGCGATCGAAGCAATAAAGCTCGGTTCAACAGTGATCGGAATATCAACCTCCGAAGGAGTTGTATTAGCAGCAGAGAGACGCATAACATCTCCTCTGATGGAGCCAACAACAATCGAGAAGATCGTCGAAGTCGATAAGCACATTGGTTGTGCTGGCTCTGGCCTCATGGCCGACTCGAGAACTATGATTGATCGTGCTCGTGCTGAATGCCAGAATCACTGGTTCATCTACAACGAGAAGATGAGTGTTGAGTCTGTTGCCCAGGCGGTGTCCAATTTGGCAATTCAATTTGGAGATAGCGATGACGATGGTAGTGCTATGTCGAGACCCTTTGGTGTGGCCATTCTCTTTGCTGGAATTGATGAGAAAGGACCACAACTGTTTCATATGGATCCATCCGGCACTTTTGTGCAGTTTGATGCTAAGGCCATTGGCTCGGGCAGTGAAGGGGCACAACAGTCACTTCAAGAAGTTTTTCATAAGGTATCGGAAGAAATTTACATCTTTATCATTGTTTAAATGGGGATGTAAATGTTTTTGAAGTTGTAGATTTTTTCAATAGAAAAAAGAAGTAAATGAAAATAATTGCTGGTTTTATTCAAATAAAACTGATCGTCTTTATGGCTTTGGAGAATGATTAAATCATTACTTTATCAGTCACTTCACAAAGTTTATCGTAAGGAATTGCACAATTATATTATTCTTATCGTTCACATGGAGATATAAATGTCTTTGAAGCTGTGAATATCTTCATGGCTTTGAACTTTTTTAAACAAGATTCGGAAATGATTAACATTATTACTTCATTTTAATTCTTTTCAATGTAAATGGCTTTTTGAGGGAGCTGATGGAAATGATAATTAATTGTAATAAAAAAAATGTTTGATTTACAGTCAATGACCCTGAAAGAAGCCATAAAAGCCACGATAACAATTCTTAAACAAGTGATGGAAGAGAAATTGAACGAAACAAACATTGAACTCATGACGATGACGCCAGAGGCAAAGTTCCACATGTTTTCGAAGGAGGAATTGCAGGAGGTGATTAAGGATATTGCTTAAATAACATTTTTTAATTACTTTTTACTACTGTTGTTAATCAGTGCGTCAGGAAGAAAGAGAAATCATCCAGTTGCATACATTCATCAGTGAACATCGACAGTCTCAACATCCTGTTTCATACACAAAAATTACGATTAATTATAATAAAGCCACTGAAATAAATACAAATTACTGGGTGGAACGATTCTATTGAAATTTGCATACCTCGTACCTCTCATTCAATCCTGAGATCCGTCATTGAACTCATCCCCAGTCAGGATAATTTTAGAATTTTATTTTAAATGCTGTATTCCACATGCTCAACTAAGCGTGTGGAACGAATCTCTGTATGACATGATACATAAATGAAATGTTCTCTCGCTGCACAGTAATCTCAACTCCTGTAACTGTGACATGACGATTGCTATTAATCCTGTTTCATGAATAATTCTATCGTTCAGGTCATTGAGAGTGTGGCGGTAACTGCTGAGGAATCAGCGAGACGAAGGAGCAGTAGTAGATCGTCCTCAAGTCCTTTCCCAACTCCAGTCGCTTCACTCCTGAGTGGATACTGAATCCCTGATGAATACCTACTCCTGTGTCAATAATCCTGTTAAGAAATTCCTTCAATTCAATAGAAATATAATATTTATTGAATAGAACATTGTATTCAATTCAATAAAAACTCAATTGTTTTTTTAATTTTTGAGAATATTCTCTTTAGTGAGTCGTGCTATTAGCATTAAGAAAATCTCAACTGAATAAATAATCCAATATTGTCGGGTCGATGTTTTTGACAATAAACTCCTTCAATTCAATAAGACTATGCGTTAAATCCAATTATTTACCCCTTCATTCAGGAAAAGAAAATTTTTGTGTCCATTGTTTCCAATACTCTCGGCAATCCAAAGAAAATCACTGCTAAAATCTGCGAATCCCCAACGAAATAACAAAAAGCGAGGAAATAAAACTGATGGGTGAGTTAACATTCGCTTACAAAACGCGAAGCTCCTCCGAAACCAAGAATCAATTTCGATAGTCAAGTCTTCATTAATTTCATCCTTATTGAGATTAACAAAATCCCAACCCAAAAAAATGGACTGACTCATTCGTTCATTCGGCCGTGGATTAAAAAAAAAATCAATTTTCATTCCCATTGCTTTCAAACCCTCTGCACGCAAAAAGCATTGCTATTAAAATCAACAAAACCCCGACGAAATAACAAAAAGCGAGGAAATAAAAGTGATGGATGAGTTAACATTCGATTACAAAACGCAAAGCTCCTGAATAGTCCGTATCCGAAATCAATAATTAATTTCGATGGTAAAGCTCTCTCTCGTCGTTTGGTGAGGAGGGACTGGGGAATGGGAGAGAATCAGAAATGGGCTGGATCGGTTTTCTCGCCCATGCTGCAGAGCTCGAAGCTGCGATGTCCCGATAACGCTTCCCTTTTTATCCCGTTACTCAGGGACGAGTGGGAGGTGAAGGGGGGTCCGCCAGATTATTGGATATTATTCCATTTCGAGCGTTCAATCCCGAGTACGATTCGCTCGCACAGCCCTCTCGTTTCTCCCTCCAGTTTCAATTTCATCCCTTCCGGACGGGTTTTTCGACCACTCCTATTTTCAACGTCAACGTCGATTATTGTGGATGGCGTCTGTTGTGAATTAAAATGACGGTTGGAGGTGTATTAATTAAGAGTGACGTTTTAATTTCGCGATGGTATCATCGATTCGAATTTTTACAATAATGAGAAATTGATTTTTAATAGTAGAGGGAGCGATGGATGTACCGCTCAGCAGCCAATACCGCTCACCCATTTTTCTTCACAAACACTTACTTTTCTAAAAAGTAGACGCCTGTACCGCTCATCATAGACTCAATTTTTGCTGAAATTTCGATAAATTATCAAACAACGAAGACGAGAGTTGAGTGAGCGGTATTGGCTGCGTGCGGCCAGTACCGCTCACTCAGCTCCCGTCTTCGTTTTTAAATATATGTCTGAATATCTAGCTGAATAGCCAAAGAATGCTATGCAACTGGAATTTTTATCCAAAATCATGGGTTGAGCTGCAAGAATTGTCGTTATTCCTTAGGTGAGCGGTACAGCCACTACCTCCCCTACATTAGAGTACAAGGGCACAAATTTCGTTTTCGATGAATGTGAAGCTTAAAGGCCGAGCCGAAGGCGAGGTTTATGCCCGAGTGATCTATAATATTTGATGTCACACCGGCGTGACATACAAATTTTTATCACGTTACACTTTCACTGAAATTTCGAGCAATTTCGTACTTGAAAATTCACGATTTCAAGAAGGAATCAATGTAATCTCTAAATTTCAGTTTAATTATTTCACTTAAGCATATTTTTGAATTCTCAATTAATTAAAAATTCAGCGTCGGTTTGGGCTGAATATTTGCAGTTTAATTCGCCATTCAAGTCAGTTGGAGAATTCTCGTCCTTCTAATGCTGAAAATTTTGAAATTATCTTGAATGTTGAATGAAATTTGAAATTCTATGATTTTCCGTCTCTTACACCGAATTTAATGCAGCTCTCCTGAGTATTACCACCAAACTGTTCATGAAATTTCAATTTTTTTTCAACAATGTACTTTTATTACTCAAACTTAATTTCATATTACGAAATCGAAGAGAAATCGCCGAATTCTTCACAGATACCGTCTCCCTAGCTTTCATTTCTCACGACAAAAATAATTTGCAGAAGAATCTCCCGATTTTCTGTGCATTTTGATATTTTTACTAGAAAAATCATATTCTGACTGAAATATTTCGATTGTCCTAAACTCTTTCCAATGAAGTCCTTATTATCATAAAGCGGTTTCACTCCACAATATAAACCCGATATTCCCATCAAACGAAACATAGATAATTTAACATACAACAGCACAGATCTTCGATATTTTCAAAATAGTAAACCACATTTCCATTTACATTCACATTGTTTATATACCTGTGCATCTCCATTCTCGGAGGTTCACAAACGAGATTATTGACGTAATCTTTACAATTGGAGAAACTCCACGGGGATGGCAGGAGGAGGGATAAGCCGAAGAAAACGTCGGCAATAGACAGGAAACTAAAGGGGATGGGGGATGAGGCAGTGCCAACTGAGTGGAAGAGGTACTCTGTAATTAACGGGCGCTGAGCGAGGGGAAGGGGCGGGAGGGGGGGGGAGGCTGCTGGTAGATAGTCCCGTTCGAGTACAACCCTGAGAATCCCTGGGGACCCGACCCCGCTTTCGTATCAGACACCGACACTCTCCAGCAGGCAGCCTCAGACCCATGGGCTATACGGAGCCCGGGCGTTCAAGTTTCGCTACGATAATTGCCTTCGCTTCACAGTCGCGCCGATATAGCCCCCTCCATCGTCCTTTAACTCCACTTCCCCCCCCCCCCCCCCCCCCCCCCCCCCCCCCCCCCCCCCCCCCCCCCCCCCCCCCCCCCCCCCCCCCC